TATTAAGTAATTAGAAAGAGAAGAGGGAGAACCAACTTCTTGAGATTTTTTAAATAGTCTTGATTTTAGGTTCGCTAGACTGGATAACTCTTTGGTGAACCAAGGAGGTTTCGCAGATCTAGTCGGACATGAAAGTGGGACACACGTGTCAAAAATTGTGTCAAGTACATTGTAAAAAATGTTTGTGCCTTCAATGACGTCACTGCACAAGTACAGAGCGGACCAATCAAAATTTCGAATTAATTTATTGAGCTTCGTAAACTCGGCTTTACGAAAGCAGCGGACGCGTTCAGATAGCCTACCCGCACGATCCATTACAGTAGGTCCAATATATGTCGACACTTCGAAAGTANAACCCTAAAGGGTTCGTGTGAGGCATAATTCAATCTACATAGTGGAAGGAACAAAGGAATAAAGTTTCTGGTGGGTCTAATGGGAATCGTAAAGTTTATGCGGGTCAGCGGTCAGGGCTGTATACATCCCCCTTGATCAAGTGCATACAAATTATAATTAATAGATGTTTTGAAGAAATGTTGTAAAAAGATCGGCGTTTGCCTGATCATTGTTTGCCGACATATTCAAAAATGATAGCGAGGATGGATGTGCGGACGTTCTACGCTAACTGTTTACAAAGCTGTAAAACTGTTTAGAGTCCTGTAAAAAAAGTATCCTGCATCGAAGGAGGTAGTTCCTATAGCATTGAGAATTAAGAACAGTGAAATTTGACCGAGCTATTAAGTAATTAGAAAGAGAAGAGGGAGAACCAACTTCTTGAGATTTTTTAAATAGTCTTGATTTTAGGTTCGCTAGACTGGATAACTCTTTGGTGAACCAAGGAGGTTTCGCAGATCTAGTCGGTCATGAAAGTGGGACACACGTGTCAAAAATTGTGTCAAGTACATTGTAAAAAATGTTTGTGGGTTCAATGACGTCAGTGCACGAGTACAGAGCGGACCAATCAAAATTTCTAATTAAGTTATTGAGCTTCGTAAACTCGGCATTACGAAAGCAGCGGTTCAGATAGTCTACTCGCACGATCCGATACAGTAGGTCCAATATCTATGGACACTTCGAAAGTAGGATGATAGCAGTCTTCAGGTATAGTGAGCGGGAGTGCTCGTGTTAAGACGCTACGGTCGGATCCGAGACAAAACACAGATCAAGCAATCGACCCAAGGAGTTTTTTACATGGTTGACTTGAGACAGGGACAGGTCTAATAAGCCATCAATAAACTCATGTCGTGACATGGGCACAAGGTTGTTTGACTCGTTTACCGAAGACCAGACATTACCTGGCAGGCTGAAATCCCCAACAACTATTAAATGGTCTTTATCAGATAGCGAGGAAGAAACAGTTTTTAAGGCAGACAAGTGCTGCTCGTATATTAGTACATCCGAAGTCGGTGCAATGTACGAGCAAGTGACATAAGTAGACTGGCCGGGAAGAATCAGTCTAACACAGAGGAATTCCAGGTCTTGTAAGACCTGGACTATGAAAAGTTCCGACGTAAAGTAAGAGTTTACTGCAATCAGAATCCCTCCTCCACGTCGAGACGAACGAATTTTGTACCGAATTGCCAAAACTTCGGAACAAATAAAGTCCGGCTTTAACCAGGTTTCGGTAAACACAATAACATGGGATGAAAATGTAAAACTATCCATAACGAGAAGGGACGTGTGGGACGCTTCTTACGCGTCACAACTTTTATGCCCGGCACTCAGTACTACATATGCACCTTAGCGGTTATTTGTCATATTTTAAATTTTTTCTTCATCTGTCATCTACATCTACAACACTACTCACACCAACACGCTCCTTTAGCTCGCCGCCCTCCCCTAGAGCCACACACTGCAGAGTCAGGGCAGAGACGCGGCAGAGGCAGATACGTGTCAGAGGCAGCGACGCGGCACTGCGCGAAGCAGAGAGTGAATGAGAGAATGTGCAACAAAAATATAAGCTGTGGGACGGGGTAAACCCACCCCAATTTTTCCATTGTGGCTATAATAATGTTCCAATCGGATTGGTGATCTGATAGATATGGTCATTCCCTACGGAATGGCGTTTTTAGATTTATTTTATCCACAAAACTGTAGGTTTATGAGGTTTTCGCCCTTTTGCGGTGGTGGAAGGGGGCGGGGCTAATTTTTGAAATACACTGGTTTCAGTGTGAGCACACAGTGTGGAGCCCAAATTTGATGGCTCTGGCTGACTCTGATATGACTCTATCGACCGTCAATTGATGCTGATCAAGAATATGTATATTTTATGGGGTCGGAAACGTTTCCTTCTGTGCGTAACATAAAACCGTTATTCGCACAAATACAATATACCCTATTTACTCTTCAAGTACCGGGTATAAAAAGAGTGTTCAACTTACTACGTAATCCGCGAGCATTTTGATAGGCTACAATGAGGGAAATTAATTGGAAATGCAGAGGGTAGAGGTAGATGGAGCAGAGGAGGAAGGAGCACTGGCCTCACTACTAGGAAGAGTTATGGAGGGCATATTTTTCTTCTTAGTCTTAAACTCTTTCACTACCAGGTGCTCTGGCCAAAATTTGCAGGAGCAAATGGTCTCGAAATGAGTTGGAGACACGCTAATCTTGAAAGAAGCTATCTCCTTTTCATAAGAGAAATTAAACTTCTCCACCTTTAAGAAATCGGCTTTTATTTTGATTTGTATAAAAGCAGTTACATCATTAGATGTGAGGTCAGGGGCAAGCCGAGAGACAAAAACTTGCCGCTTTGGTGGGACTCCCACCAGAGGTTTTGGCACCACAGATCTGGTACCTGTGACGGCAATATCCGGTGGTCCGGGACGTTTATTAACTGGTGGGATCGAAATAGATGGGAAGGGCTTTGGAACGGACTCGACAGACACGGACGCTACAGTACTAACTGGCTGCATGTTCTCCGAGATGATCGATTCGGTAGCCGAAACTTGATCACCAGCAGTTGTCGTTGCCCTTGGAGTAGCGAACGAAATTAGCTGCTGCACTATCGGAGTGGACGGAGACAGTTGATCAGCAGCGAGCGGTCGAGGGACAGGCACTTGCAGATCACGAGGAGTGACTTTTTTGCGGCTAGGAGACATATTCAGCACTTTAAAACTGCTGAATTGAGACTCCATGGCTAGAAGCAGATCGTCCTGTTTTTTAAAGCCCACGGTCAGCTCCTTAAAGCCCTTTCGCGTCTGCCTCATAAACGTGACCATGTCATTCTCGACAGACCGACATGCCTCGCAACTGTAATGCAGACCATTACGCTTGAAATTGCGTCACCCACGCAGAGCAGCAAGGGACGCTCGGCTGTTCGTGGCTGTTCAAATTATTAGAAAAGCGGGTAAACAAATTTCTTCAATCGATCTTCAAAGATAAGGGATCGTTCTCAAAACTTGTGACAGGTATTTACGTTTAAATGCATTGGCAATTGGCAACCTTTTTTCCGATTTACTTCGACACCTTGTGTCCACCTTGCAACGAAGACATAGTATTTTAAAACCGTAGGTTATATACCGAAAATTTAAATATCTGTAGGGACACACAGATGCACAAGAATATATGACATGCATTTTAACAAGAATTGAAACCTCTACCCTTAACATGAAATCGTCATGTCCGGTGCGGTCAGTGGTAAGCTCTGTTATATTTTGGATGTACATACATAACTTTGAAGATACATTTTTTCCGGAAAACTCGCGGTTACAAATATATATTTTAAATACGTTTAAGAGATTGGCGGTCAAAAAATGAAAGGCGGGAAATTTTTGAATTTTCTCCGGCCGTATCTGAAAAGGGCGCTACTATGTAAAACAATCGTCTCTCATTAGCGCCCTCATGATCGGCGACGGCCACTTTTAAAACTAAGTTAAATTAGTTACAGAAATCGTCGTTGGTCTTAGAGCCATTATGGAATTTCTTGACTCAAATGTCCGCAAAACTAAACAGATTACAGACTGTCAAAAAAAATCAGCAGAAAGTAAAATAAGTAATAATAAGTAATTATCTTTTTTTCATCGTGTCAAAGGCTGGCTTTTCAATCAGTTTCACTTCAAGGACCTCAAGGATTAAGGATATACTATCCTATACAGAGACGTGATACGTGTCCTAGTTAGCGGAACAATCTTCGTTAACATTTGATTAATTTATTTGTATAATGGAGTCATGAATATGTCAACCAGAAGGAAGGCCATACTTATTCTATAAAGCCCCAAAAGTGTTAATAAATTTGACTTGCTTTTGATGTAATTTTTCGCGCCACACCTCATGTACGCGAGAATGTCCCACCGATCTGTGGAACCCAGAGTGAAACCAAGAAAAACAATGATAAAGCATTTTTTTCAAACACTCAAGGACATTAAAGTCAGTGGTTTTCCACTGGGAAAACACATGATCCGGTTCGCCCTGGATGATCGTGTGTTGCTCCGGTGGCTCCGGATGAGGGGTCAAAAACAGACATACTTACTTTACTTACTTTTTTGATATAGTAATATTGAAAGTAATTTAAAGCTTATTTCCTTATTGCCGCTGTCAATTCAGCTCAAGTTCAACGTTTCATGTGGCTTACCATTCGAATGGGAGTGAGCACTACGCTCCGGCATTGCATCCACCCACGAATACACGGAAGTGGAGAAGGGGTTTGGGACACGGAGACAGGAGCATATGAAATTTTAAGTAGTTTTTTTTCGCCTCGTACTTGCGGTTTGTCTTGCGGGTGTTGGGGATTGCGGTTGCGGTTGTCAGGCGAACAACAGAGAGGGGGGCGTATTTGAGTTTGAGTGGCGAATTTAATTGGCCATGTGTGTGTGGGCTGAACAGGATTTCGGACATGTGTCCAAATAGATTAAACAAAAAGCTGAAAATTCCAATTAAATCCAGAAAACTTGTTCCCGGCTTGCAAACAAATAAGTTTCGACCACAGAGGGTCATCCAGCAGCAATAATAAATTAGATTTCTAAATTTGGTTCTTGTAATTTATCTATATTTATTTTTGTCTCTCCTTTAAAATACGTTTCCGTTGTCTCTGTTTGGTTTTTTGTCACTTTTTTGCTTGAGTTATCTAATCGTATTTGTAGAAATTTATTCTTATGTTTCAGTTTTAGTTTAAACTCTTCCGTTTTCTTTGCTCTATTGGGTCTTAAATGTATCGTTCTTCTCTCTAACAATTTAACTTTACCATCTCTAAGCAGGACCTTTCGCCGAACGAATCGACTTTTTAAATATGTACTGTCTCTTATGTACCTACATAGATTCACATACGTTTACATAAACAGTTACCAATATCCTATTTACAAAAAATAAAAAGCTTATCCTTGGAGCTGGTTAATATTTGATGTTTACAACTATGCCAGAAGTGTGTTACGAGTAGTACCACACATTTATCTTTACTATTTCTTAACAATTATCCTATTTCTGATTTGGGAAAATGTATCCTACAAAATATTTATCTACTACATTGTCTGAGTCTTTTTGAAGTTTCCTTAAATTATAGTGTGGTTAATCCGTTTATTCTGCCTGCTATATTATTTACCCAATTTAAGTGGAAATGTAGTCAAAGCATTGGAAAGAGTGTTGAACATTGATAGAAGAGTTATTCTTGAAGCAGAGATCTACTATAAGACTCTGCGAAGGAATCTTTAACTTGTCCACTCTTTCTGATACGTTTATCCTTCCTTCCTTCATCTAATATTATCTCATCTAACTTCTGATATAACAATGGATATGGAATCGCCTTGAAGATATGCAGATATTTCCCTTGCTTTTCTCAGATTCACAGAGTCAGAGTGACGCTTGAGACGCTTATGTGTTAAAAGTAGATTAGATATGCACAGCACCTTAACGAGAATAAAATTATGTCATTCATATACACATACATATACATGTTCCTATATCCTAAATACACACGTACGTATCTATATTAATGGATCTCACGATTTCCAGAAGCTTCTTTTTCTGCCTCTGCCTCTGACCTTGCCTCTTACACACAACTCTCTGGCACGCGCTGCGTCATGAGGCAGTCCTTAATCGCATTTATATTAATGTTATCATCCAGGTCCTGCGAGGAGTTACACGAGGTGGTCGTAGTTGTGTTTGAGGTTGTGTTATTGGCCAAGCCCACAACGCCCATCACGCTGCCGGCGCTGCCCAGGAGCAGGCTGGAGCCTGAATGGTGCGGGTTCTGCTGCTGCTGCTGCTGCTGATGATGATGATTATGGTGTTGCTGTGGCTGTTGTTGCTGATGGTGATGCCGACTCAGTGTGGCCGTGTGAGTGGCTCCCCCTCCAGCACCCACTTGCTGCAGTGGGTAGTGCAGCCGCCCGCTGGCATACGCATTTAGTATGTAGCCCCCGCCGCAGCCCAGTCCAGGTGGCAGGGTGCCCACGCCGCTGCCGTGCACAGGCTGCAGGTGGGCCGCCAGCGTGGCCATCGAGGAGAGCGATGTCGGGGAGCCAATGATGGTGCCGCTCAGTCCCAGTGGCGGCTTGCTCCCAAGGCTGCCCATCATGCTGCTGCTGGGCGAGATGACGGTACTGCTGCAACCTCCGCCCGCCGCAGCCACGGCCGCCAACATCTGGGCCCGTTGCGCATTGATTTGATTGTAGGTGACCGTCGTATTCGACGGATTGCCGGACGGCATCGTCGTAGTCGTTAGGGGCACCACCTGCAAGATACAAGAGGCATCGAACACGATGTGGTATGGTGTGGCATTAGGGCATCGTCAGTCATTCAGCTGGAAATTGCTCTTGCTCTGGAATGCCATGCCAGAGTTTTCTAAATGAAAAAGTCGAGTATACTCCGATGAAAAACTGTTGATTTTAATGCGTGGGATCTCGAGGGTATCGTTTGTTATTTCGGTAAATGAAATCAATCCGTTTCGGCCCTAGATTTCTCGTTGTGGGAATACTCTCAATTGCATCGAATACATCTACAACTGCAATTCTCACATTTGGAAGGCCTTCTTTAATTTCTCTACCAACAGTAACCACCAGAAACCAAATTTGCATAATATCTTTTGAAGCGTTTAGTTGGAGTAAGATAAGTTAGAAAAAATATTCTGACATGCCCTAAAATTTTCATTTGTAGATATTTCCATTTAGATGAAACGACCGTTTCTATTTCTATTTATATTTCTATTGCTATTTCTATTGAAGCACAGACCGTGCCACCCAGCAGCGCCAATCCAATTATCTTCAATGATTAAACCAAAATATTTCGGGTTGAACGCCAAAAATGTTGTGGACCAACACGAAATTCGAACGAAATTTTAATTGAAATCTCTCAATGCAATTTGCACGTGGTGCGGCAGCATGGGGAGGCAGGCTGAAAGAACGGTGTGAAATTGCCGTTTCGACTGTTATGTTTGGCAATATTTAAAATTATTTAATTAACGAATTGAGTTATGCTGCGATTGCCCACTCTCCACCCACCTACCCACTGAAAATCGCCAACCGTTTGAGGCCCTGGCGCTTGGCACTGTGGAATGGTAATTTTAATGTAATTGAAATCTGTGCAGCAAATCCCATTTACAGAATGAAACAAAAATTCTCTTTCAGCGCAGCTCCGTTTTGGGATTCGTTTCGCTTTCAGATACTTCTCTCTTTTATCTGGTGGAGGAGTTCCCTCGCTCTCTCTCTCTCTCTCTGTCTGCGGAGTGGACGGATCCTGTAGATGGTATGGTATGCTATGGTCCATCGGTTTGTGCCATGGGGGAGTTGAAACCGCAGCGTTGGCTGATTTCGCGAGTACGATAACGGGTACGGAACTTCTGTCCCTGTTTCTGGTTTTTTCTGCATTGCAAATTGGTTCGGTTTCGGGGCTTGAGTTCTCGGCTACTGGGTGGTGCGTTCAGGCTCTTGTTTATTTGCAGTTTAGTGAGATATAAATACATATATTCGCGGACTGGCAGTCAATTGGTCATGGTCTGTGCATATGGCCGACACTAATCTCCACAGGCACAGAGCTTCTGGTAACGGCTCGCGGGGATCGCGAATGTTTTCCCGGAAAAAAATTATATACAGACAGGCAGACAGATGTATGTATGTATGTATGTAAATGTATGTGTGTGTAAAAGGAAAGTTCATAAATAAACTCTAATTGCGAATTTAATGATATGTAAAAATAAAATAAATACAAGCAGAAAAATATTAGAAAATTTGAACAAAAATACTCGCAGGTTAAACTGAAATAATAACACTACTCGACAAAATTATACTTTTTTTCCGCTTTGAACCAAACTTAAAAGGACGTGTAAGACGCTTCTTACGCGTCACAACTTGTATACCCGGCACTCAGTACGACATCTGTACCTTAGCCGTTTTTTTTTTAAATTTTAAATTTTTCCTCATCTGTCATTTACATCTACAACACTTCTCACACCAACACACTCCTTAAGCTCGCCCGCTTTCCTAGAGTCCCACACTGCAGAGTCCCGGAAGACACTGCAGAAGCAGAGTGTGAATAAAAGAATGTAAAAAAAAATATAAGCTGCGGGACGGGGTGGGTTTAGCCACTGCAAATTAATTTCTTCATTGTGGCTATAATTATGATCCAATTGAATCCCAATTTGGTGATCTGACATTCCCTACAGAATGGCGTTGTTAGATTTATTTTATCTTCAAAATTGTACATTTGGGAGGGTTTCCACTTTTTGAAATACACTGGTTTTAGTGTGAGCATACAGCAGTCTGGAGCCAAAATTTGGTGGCTCTAGCTTTTATAGTCTCTGAAAACTAGCCGACAAACAAGACGGACAGACGGACGGACGGACAGCCAGAAATGGCTCAATCGACTCTGCTCTTGATGCTGATCAAGAATATATATACATTATGGGTTCGGAAACGTTTCCTTCTGTGCGTTACATACAACCGTTATTCGCACAAATACAACAAACCCTATTTACTCTTCGAGTACCGGGTATTAAAAATAATTTAAAGAAACGCTCTGTCATAGAAAAAAAATGATCATCAAACCAATTATAAGCCCCATATCTTTCAGAAAAAGTTGGTCTGGGTCGAAGCGGCAAAATTGTGTCGAGTAGTGTAATCGAATATGGATCATGAAATTTAGTAATTGAAGATTCTTAAATACAATTTCCCATTTCCCTTTTAAAGATTATCTTTCCTTTCCCTTACGTTCTTAATGTTTTTTTTTTGTTGCATTGCTCTGCACAGACAGACTGGCACACACCTGTTGCCATGCCAACGTTACTTTCCATCTTTTAAATATAAATATAATAAAAATAGAAACTCCCTTCATCCGCCCCTCAGTCGTGCTCAGTTTCGTGCTCAATATAAATGCGGAAGAAGCAGAACTTGATTGATTATGGCCAGCAGCTCAACATGATATATTGTGTTTTAAAAATCTCCCAATTACCTCAGAGCAAGGCAGGTTCAGGGCCCACCTCTTTTACTTGCTTGCAACAGAGTGGCACGACTCGGAGTCTCGTTTGGTTCTGTTTCAAATGGCACGTTATCCCATGATTTAGCCAATGGATTTTTGTTTATAACCTCCCGAGTGGGAAGCATAACGAGAATGACATTGCGAGAAAAAGTCGAAGGCAAACTGACAGTTTAAAAGCTTTTTTTAATATAGTCGAATGTTGGTCAGAGTAGCCAGCTCTTGGCTCCCAGGACTTTGAAGTCTGAGGAGGTAGCACCAGCTACAAGGCATTCTGGTTGCCTTGGAATCTTTTTAGCAATTTGAAAATTTGACTAGTTGATTGCCTTCAGTTCGGTGAACAGATTGCCTGAACAGAAGATACAGAGACACACGGAGTATTGGCCAGAGTAGTCCGAGTTGCACGGTTAATACGGACCGCAACTGACAAGTGGCAGACGTTAACTGGTCCTTGGTCCTTGGTCTAACCAGATTGGTTTGCCATTTGGCCGACCCAAACCCAAACACCGGACAAACAGTTGCCAAATAACATTGCAAGTGCAAAGCAAAAGGACTATGGACAAAGTGAGAGTTTGACTCATTTTAATTTGCTGCGGCACCCTTTTGGCATGGTCACAAAAGGCTAGACACTTGAGTGGGATATTTAATTACACTACAATCTACGAGTTTAGGCGAGAGAGATGGTCATTTGGTTTGTCCCAGGAGTGTCCAGAAAGTGAAAGATTATAAATGATGTAACAATATATTTTAGCTGCAACTTCAACTGCAAATGAAAGGAATTTGTTCTGCTTGAATCTACTCTTAACGATCCCCTCTTTTCAGCTACTTTTCTGACAGCTTTTACCTGCTGTCTGAACATCCATCCACTGCGATTACTTACATTGCCATTGGGTGACCATTTGGAGACACCTCCTCCTCCCAGGGACGTGGAAGATGTGAACTGATGGGCATCAGATGCTGATGCTGATGCGGCTGCTGTCGCTGTCGCTGCGGACGCTGCTGCTGTTGCCACCACTGCGGTGGATGTGCTGCTGCCAGTGGTGGTGCCCGCAGTGGTGCTGCCAACGTTCGAGGCATTGCTGCCACTGCTTCCCGCGCTGCTGCCGCCAACTGTTTGATTGAAATTTATTGATGACCGTTTCACGTTTTGGGGTCCATGTTCATTCCGCATCCGCATCCGTGTCCATTTCCATGTGACAGACGAGGGAGATTCGGCGATTGCGTTGTTAGATTGGTGGGTTCCATCGTTAAAAATATTTACGATTAAAAGAAAATTGCATTTGTTGATTGGATTGGAATGGTTTGGCGGTTCGACGAGTGTCGAATTGTTGTTGTTGTTATTGTGATGATGAGATTGATTACGATTGCGGGTCACCAAAGAGCAGAGCGCATAGCAGATTCCAGGAGTGGTGCAGGAACAGGATACAGCACACAGATAGCGTTGCGATGCGCGACAATTGTCGGGACACATGAAAGTAAATGTCGGGAAAAGTGGCCATAAAATTTGATTAAAGTTTAATGCTCAAAGTGCACTATAAAAGCAGCAGCTTGGTTTCAGCATAAGGACCCACAGGGCACTCGACTGGACCCCCATGCGATACATCGCACCAAGGGATACTCTTACTACAGATAGTATTGGAGATGGTAATTGTTCTCCGTAACAAACGACATCAAAAGGAAACTCTTTTCGTCTCTCTCATCAAGCTCCTCCAGAAGTCAAGTGTACTCTGCCCGTCTCCCTACCTCTCTTGCCGGATGTGAGAGAGAGGAAAGAGAAGAGGAAACTGTTTATGATCTTACCATATTGCGATGGTATTACATCCGGATCACGTTCGTCTTCGACCAAATCCTCCGATGACTTTGTTTTTATGTCCGTATGCTGCCAGCGTGGTTTCTCCATGTTGCCGCCCTGCCAAAGCAACACAAAACGAGGAGGAACGTTAGGGAGACGCTTCGTGCGCGTCACAACTTTAATACTCGGTATTCAGTAAGTATATCTGTACCTTACTTGTTTTTTTCGAATTGTACATTTTACTTTTGCTACATATGTATGTCATTTACATCTATATAACTTATTTATCTACATCGCCACACTCCCCCAGTGACACACACTGCATGAGGCAGAGGGTGCGAGCGAGAAAGAATGAGCAACAAAAAACAAACACAAGCAAAGCTGCTGGATGGGGTGGGGGTAGCCACTTCAAATGTATTTCTCTATTCTGGTTGTAATAATGATCCAATCTAATCCAAAATTGAGTGATCGGATAAATATGGTAGTTCTCTACGGAACTGCGTTTTTTCGTGCTCTTTTATTTTCAAAATTGTGACTATAGAAGATTTTTGCCCATTTCGGGGCGGAGCTTATTTCTAAAATACACTTGTATCAGTGTGACATCAAAGCAGTCTGGAGGCAAAATTAGGTGGCTCTAACTTTTATAGTCTCTGATAACTAGCCGACAAACAAGACGGACATACGGACGGACAAACGAACAGACAGACATGCCTATAACGACTCGGCTATTGATGCTTGGGTCGGAAACGTTTTTTTTCTATTTACTCTTCGAATACCGGGTTTAAAAAGGAAATGTTACCCACATTCGCACATATATTAATTGCGGTGCAAATTGTGGTTCGTGGAAGGGGGTTCAGGGGGTACACTCACCTTGAAGACATCCCCTGGTTGGGCCGTGACACCGGTAGCCGTTGCCTTGCTGCCGTGATGACGATTGCGCCGCAAATTGTGCACAAATGTCACCACAAATATTCGTATCGCGATGGCAACAGCAATAATTATGATGGTCAGGACACTTCCAACAATCACCGGCGACAATGTCAGTGTTACGTCGTCGTCTGTGGGTTGGAGGTGTTTTTTTGCGCCGTTTGTAGATTGTTGTTGCCGTAATTACAGGTTGTTGGTCCCCGTTCATAAATCATCGTTGGGTTTTAGATAGATTGCCATCGGTGGCATATATCAACACATCAAATTGATTGCCGATGGAAGTGGTTGTTGAGGCCCGTTGCCGTTGAGCAGGCAGCACGTTAAATTGTTTGACATTTTGACGGTTTTATATTTAGCCAAAAGGAATTTCACAGCACATGAAAATTGTGGGTTGAAAGTGGGGGAAAAAGCAAAGAGGATACGTGAGTATATGTGGTGCAAGTATTGGTTTTGTATTTGTCTAGCATCTAAAGTTTAATTGGTTAAAAGGATGGACAGTAGGAAAAAAAGAAGGTGGAAATTCTCAGAGACCTACAGACGAGTAAGTGGAGCAGCACTTGGTGGAGCCTTCACTTGGGTAACTATTTCTTTTTGATCAGACTTTTTCTGTAGCTCTGGTTGGTTCCTCTCCATTCATTTTTTGTGTTTCAATTCTGAAGATTCAAATACTTTATCGAAATCTACCATTATCTTTCTTATTATTCTATCCAGCATTTTCCCAAATATTACATTCATCCCTTGCTCTACTATAAACCTTCCAACACTCTTTTTTCCTGCCATAAGCTCCATAGTTTTCTCTTCCATTCGTTCCACTGTGCGTGGGTCTGCACCCCAGATTTGGCTCCTGCTGATTCCTCTCTGCTCATGTATAAAAGTAACTTTACACATATTTTACTCCATCAGTCGATGGTAGCCGGAATGGCTATGCAAAAGAGAAGGAGGGGAGAGGCAGGCATGTTGATTATGCAAGTACTGCTGGTAACTGTCTGGAGCCTACCTGCCAGGTCAGGAGAGGAGAGGATCAATATGAGGGAGAGGTCTGGTGCTGAATGCATGGGATTAATGCATGAGAAGGAAATCACAGAGTCTAGACCCCGAAAGAGCAGAGATGATTCTCTCTCTGCCCCTGATGGCAGCTCCTCAAGTGTCAAAGCCATAAAGCTCTGAGTAGGAAAGAAGTGCCCCTGCATCCATCCACCCGACTATCCATTCATCCATCCATCCATCACTCAATCAAATTGTGTTGCTCGTTTTTCGGTGTTGGCGGCAACATCTTGCGCAGAGGCTCTCCGTCCGACTGCATGACTGTGCCACTCACCTGTCTTGTAAGCTGTTGAGCCAATTATGAAATCGGGCAAGAGATAAGCGGCACCTCGTCCCTTCTGGTTGTACGAGTAGATGCGCAGCCTCAGCGAGTTGTTCTCCTGCACCATCATCGAGGACAGCGTGTCCAGATTCTCCAGCGAGAAGAGAGCCTCCTCCGCGTTGCTCAAATTAAATCTGAAAGGGAGGCAGAGGGAAATGGAATGAGAATTGGCATTTAAATCGAAAGAAATGGCAACGAAATCAACGGCATTAAGCCTTTAATCAAATGTTTAGAGGCAGAGTCTGAGGCGGAGGCACCGGCAAAAGCCAAAACCAAAGCCACAAATTCCAGCCCTATTTTTTTCCTTGGATCTTTCTGATACTTGTGTTTTTTTTTTAGGTTCTTTGGCTGGCATGTTTTCCTCACCTAACCCCCTCAGTAATGTCTAAACCAATTCAGCGAAGGGGGTCTTCAGTTGGTAGAGGAAGATCTGCCCTCCGCTTTCCAATCCTGACCTCAATCTGAATTTGATGCCCTTTTGGCCAACAAGACGCTTTGTCTTTGGCTCGATGACTTTCCCCCTTCGACTTCCCCCACGCAACCTTGAGAGGAAGTCCTGAAATATTAGGGTTCAATGTCTTTATAGATTCCTGCCAAATATTTGTAAATTGATAATGATGTTTGGTTTTGCGTTTGTTTCCCGCTTTCGAATGAGGGTTTTTATTATTATATTTTACTTGGGGGGGCACACTTTTGTTTTTAAGAAGAAATATTTATTATATGTTTGTGTGTCCCCTAAAACGAAAGGAAACCCTTTCATAATGTTATGGGTAGGTATGAATTTGATTTCCTAAATAGGAACATATGTAACATACAACACTCGCACAAGTTGCATCTGCGCTGGCTGGAAGAGCCATTCAAAGACAAGCAACACTGCGGGAGTGCGGAGTTCCAAGCCCAATCTCGAGGACCAAGCGCAGCCTGTTTCACGCCTAATTACACACACTGTAGAAACAGCAGTAGATAACTGGACAGGATTCCTATAATGTGTATAGCATATCCTTGAACTAAAGTGCTTGGACTATTACGGAATTATATGATGCTGGTACTTGGCCGCTTATGTCTTTGTGGAAGGTGTCAAGCGCAGACACCGAATGCCTTCTCTACCATCTCTCAAGGGATGGATGGCAAATGCCCAAGTGTAAACAAGGTGCTATATGTATACATATTATATATGTAATATGTACGAGTAGAGTATCTTTGCACATCTTTTAACCCTTGTGAAAATGTGTAAATCAGTTCAATGAAATCAATAAATAAAAGTAAATAAGTAAATAAGAAACCTCAAAGAAGCAGAAAAAGATTGAAGTTTTTAATTAAAAGAACATAAAATAAATTACAAAGACACAAAAAACAAAGCTAAATATTAATTTGTAATGCCTAGAAGTGGTTTGCTTTTTAGCTGCAAATTGTTGCACAGGCCAATATAATCTTTTTAGATATATTTGTGGGATTAGAAAACACTTTGCCAGATGCTTGTGTCCTGCGAATATGAGGTTCAAAAACACCAAAATAGAGACACTGTTGCATTCGCATTTATTACTTCTTCCTGCTATCACCAACAACATTACAGATCATTTAAGCATTTTCAAATCTTAATTAAAACAATTAAAATGTAAGCAAAATATTCTGCCGTTTCCTTGCACCGTTTACCCGAATTTGAATGCAATGACCCAACCCGTGCTCGGGTTAAGAAAATAAGAAAACACACACATACAAACAAACATTGTACATGTATGTATGTATATGCATATTCCCCCGAAACGATATGGAGCCGTTTGTTTGACATGCGCTCCATATCTGTGCTTGGGGTCAAGCTGCCGCAAATAACCCTTCCCCTTCAGCCAGGAACTACAATTCGTCTCAGTTCTTCCCGTCCCTGCCCTGCCCTGCCCTGGCCTGCCATCGGGGGGCGTTCGGTAATAAGCAGCTTAAAAGCACGTCGGTAGCTGGCCCCAAGCGGGGGACCCGGGCTGAGCACAGTTGTTGTAGTTATACTCGTAGTTGATTAATATGCTTACCTGGTGATGCCTGTGCGTGTTGAAAACATTTCGAGTACAAATATTTGAGGCAGGCCGCCGTCATAGCCTGGTATGCATTGAATGTCAACACTCAGCTCTGTGCGGTTGAAGACGCTACAATTGCTGACAGCATTCGGCAGAGCTGTAGCACCAAGAATTGGGCAATGGGCGCCGGGCATCGGGAATCGCATATCGGGAATGAGGATTTTCAATCCACACACACACAGGGACAAACAGTACGAACGCCGCGAGCATCGGAAACAGATTTATGTTGGTCCACGTAACGCAGGAAATTAACAAGCAGAAGCAGTGGCAGCAGCAACGGCAGCATTATTTTGGTGGGAGGAAGGAAAACAGAAAGAGAGAGAGTGAGAAAGAGAGAGAGTGAGAAAGAGAGAGAGAAACAGTAGCATATAAAAATTGTTTATATTTTGAATCGGATTACAATGTCCAATCTCTGTTGTTTTGTTGGTTTTTGGGAACCCACTGGTCAGTAAGTCAGTCTTTCCGAGCGTCTGTCTGTCCCCACAGCCCACGCGAGTGGCAATCCGAGCAGAAGGCCCAGTACCAGTTCCAGTCCCATCTTCACTCTGTCCGTGTCTGCAGTCGGTATTAACATGTTAAGGTCAAATTGCACGTAAAGAAGCAACAGCAAACAGCTGCCAATGGGAATGGGAATGGCAGGGGAATGGGGTGAAAGCCAAAAGGATCAAGTACCATCCATGTTCAGGGTGGACATTGTTTGGAGTGTACAAATTTTTGGGTAAATTGCTTTATGGTACATGCACGTTTTTCCATGAAACATTCAGGCAGGACTAGGACTGAATATTTTCAGATTTTTCTCTTGAAAATTTAAGTAATCAAGAAAATGGCAGGAATTATTAAGGTGACTGTAGAAGCAGTAGAATTAAATACGCCTTTTTTCTAGAGGTAGAATTTAGGCTTTGAAAACTGTAAACTGTAAATTTCCTGAACACAAATTCAGGAAGAATTTATCATGTTTCAACCTGCATAACAAAAAATATAGAGACCCACTTCACACCCATTTTATACCATACACTCACCCGCTAGTACGACTTGGAAGAGGCAGGGATGTTGCTGGGTGCCCACCTCGTTCGAGGCCCAGCAGGACAGTGTGCCATAATCCTGCAAAAATATATATTTATATTTATTATTTAAAATGCAGCTCTTGCTTAATTGCACGAAGGAATAGGGGCAGATGGTCAAAGGGTGTGTGTGTTTACCTGATCTGTGACTGGTGTGTACTTTAAAATACTGCGACTTCCATTCACGCTGAAACGTTCACTGCCCACGTCCAGGGTTTCGCCCGAGTTGTTGAATTTCCACCGAAATGTTCTGCAAGAGAAATAAAATATATAACATTTTATTTTATATATATGTGTATGTGTGTATGTACATATGGAGCGAAAGTTGCGTTGACATTTTGACAGCAGTGTGTGTTCTGTGTGTGTGTCAGCGACAGGAAAAGAATATATCGGAACAGCCCAGAGCTGGACAGGACAGGACATGAGCAACAGCAGCATCATCTGGTGAGGAGGCAAAGGAGCAGCAGGAGCGTAAAAGGACATTTAGCAAGTGGAATCATGTTGGCAAACTTTTACATTTTTAAAATAGCTCCTTAAAATATTAAAGGTTAAACACGGAGACAGATGGATCGAACCGGGCCGAACTCGTCACTCCACACAGCCTCTCTACAGAGTCCTGTCCAGATATATGTACATAAATATGTTCATTGGTAGCGGAAGCCTTTTGAAAGGTTAATTATCTCTGGCATATACGGTTTGACGCTTTCGGGGCACTTCGAGGGCGTCACAGTGCAAAAATAACCGTAAATCAATAAAGGTAAAAAATAAATCCATTTAAAAATACATTCCGCCAGAGCTAAATGAAATCAATTATGGAAGAGGACCAGCACCAACATAATAATTAATTCGTTGAGTGGATAATTATAGTTTTTTAATGGAAAAAACCTGAAAGGGAAAAATCGTTTGGAAATATTTATTTTTAGAAATATTTAGATTTCCGTAAATTGCCTGCAAGGTTGTCCTCATTTAAAGACACCCCCGAAAAACCAAACACAAATTTTGATTACATTTTACTTTAATTACTTTAATATTCAGAAAATAGTCAATTTGTATACTCTGGCTGCTTGTGATGCTGCTGCTTGTCAGGCATTTAAATGCTGACATCCCGCATCCCTCCCAATCATCCCATGCTAGCATCCACTGAGTTTACTCCCCCCCCTGGAACTACTGGACTCAAGAGTCTGTCCCCTGTGACCACGTCAAAAGTTTGAAGCAGGCTGTTATATGTTCACGCCAGTATCTTTCCAGTATGCATCTCGCACCTACTACTGTTTTCTCCAGCAACCACCAGCCACAACAAGGCCGCCGCCTCGGTCCCGCTTATTTTCCGCCGGCTAATGATTAATTATGTTAGCATAAAGCGTCAGCTCAACCGCCGTGCACAGAAAAAAAGATCGAAAAAGTGGAAATTAAATACAAGTCAGAGCAGAACGGGACATGGAGTGCAAGTGCGACCGGGAGAGTCACACTCAGACAGTTCGGACTAAGGCAGTGTGGCAGCTGGTAAGGCCTCGTCGTCGGCTGGTAACGGTGTGTGGGGGCGGGGGCTCATTAAAAAAACATTAATGTCGGAAACATTCCCGCTGACCAGCTGAATCCCCAGCACTAGCGGGGAGCATCATCCTCTCCTCTTCCTGGAAAAGCCAAATTTAAAATGAATTAAAAGAAAACATTTAAGGTCTGTGTGGAAAGCACAAGGAAAAAAAATTACGCAGAGGCATCAAAATATTGTTTAATTTTCGCACAATTCCTCGCACACGAAATTTACAATCATTTGTCAACAGAAAGCAATTTCCTACAACAGAGCAATAGCGTTTCAAGGAAAAAAATAAGAAAATATTTTAAAGGAGGGGTAGGAAGCAACAGGAATGGGCAGGAGAAGATTCTCAGGATTCCCTTGCTGTTTTTTTGCACTTACCGCGGTGGGGGATCGGCCTGTATTTCGCATATTACTTCCACAGTCTCATCCTTGGAGGCGCCAATTAATATCACATGGTCCGAGTGCTTGCATATCGGAGTATCTGTAATCAGAATAAGTTAAGGGCATTAGATAACACGAATTATGATTAGATTGGATCATTATTATAGCCAGAATGAAGAAATGCGGATATGGAGGATAGTGGCAAGCTAAAAGGGCGAGTTGGCGGGAGCAGTTGTGTAAACGCAGAAAAAATGCAAAATGTAAAACTCGGTAAAAACTACCAAGCCACTGACTGAGTACCGGTTATAGAAGTTGAGCCCAGTACCAAGCGTCTCACAAACGTTCTTACTCGTTTTTTCTAGTATTTTTTGAGTACTGAAATACTCGGGTCGGTTTGGTTCGAAGCTTAAATAAAAATTTTGACGAGTAGTGTAATGGTAGCCAAAATATACAATTCAGATTTAATCTGCATAGGTTTGAGTTCTCCCCTTCAAAGGCTCTTTCCCATCTCTAAACTCTCAAAGGCTTCTCAAACTCTCCTGCAGATGATATCTGAGAGGAAAACCAAAATGTTTATATCGTGGTTGTCGTTTCCCCGTTTCCAGTCACCTGTTGATGGGCGTAGCCTCCCATTTCTCTCCTCTGAATATCTTACGATGTGCCCTCTAATCATATCCTTCCCATTAGCCTACCCTTATCGGCTGTGGGGCATTAAAATGTTTTCTTAAAATCGATGATAAATGAGAGTCAAAGTATTTGGTTTGTTGTGCGTTCGTGCGTGTGTATGTGTGTGAGAACACACAGAACAAGAACGAGTAGGAATGTGAGACTATTCGTAGGCGTCACAACTTTCGTACCTGGTACTCAGTCAGTATGCAACCTTATGATATTTTCCAATTATAAATTTTTTCTACATCCTGCATCATCCTACATTCTAATTATATATTATCCATAAACTACAATAACTATAACTAACTATAATAATGATCTGAGCCGATCTAAATTCGGGGTTATGATAGCTATGGCCGTTCTCTACGGAATTTGAGAGATATTCGCCCTAAGCTGGGGTGGAAGGACTCTGGGAATACATTCGTAACAGTGTGATATCACATGAGTCTTCACACACAATTTACTGACTAGTCTTTGATATTCAGTTAATCAAGACGGACGGACAGACAAAAATAGACTCTGCTATTGAAACTGGTCCAGAATTTATATTGTTTATGGGTTGGAAAACGTTTCCTTCTGTTGTTCCGAACACAAAAAAAATATACCCTGTTTACTCTTCGAGTGCAAGGTATAAAAACGCACAAAAGTGATTTAGACAGTGGGGACAACAGGGCGCAACGCTGACGACGCCTTCTCATCAGTCAGTCATTCAGTCTGTAAATCTGGCCGTCCGTCAGTCCTTAGGGATGAAGGGAATATGCGGCGCGGTGTGGAGGACTAAAAGCCTCCCGGTCCTTGTTTCAATGGGAAATTAATTAATGGCGCAACATGATTTAGTACTTCCAGGTAAATAGGGGTTTTTCTGAACTCCGTTTCGTTCTCCCTTCCGTTCCGTTCCAAAAACGTTAAAGGATTATTAGCTGACGGCACATGTGGCGTATTTATAATTTTCTATCGTCGTATCAGCTCACCCCTCTCTCTCTACAGCATTTATAAAAGCAACTTTAATTTCTGATGAATTGTTTATCTTCAAACATTTATATAAGAAGCAAAATTTGGGTGAGCGGGGAAGGGTCGTAATTAATTAGCCTGAAAATAACGCCCACATCCTGCAATCCTGCTGAGGGAGGGAGTGGCTGGATGTGGCTGTCTACTTTCGTTTTATGTTTTTGCTTTTTGGGGCGGTGTAGGTGGATACTGATTACGTTGTCGATTTCTCTAATTAAGCAACACTTGAGTGGGCATAAGGAGTCACGGGGATGGCGGTGGAAGTGTCACGAAGAACTGAACTATATGTTCCACAATATAAAGAATGAACGAGGAAAGCGTTACAACTTTTATACCCGGAACTCAGTAGTGGTTTTTTTTTCATTTCACATTTTACCTTTTTTCTATATATGTCATCTACATCCCTTCTCACGCCAACACGCTCTTATATCTCGCCCCGCTCCACTAGAGCACTAACCAAATAGTATATATACTATACTGACTAGATTGATACTGACTAGTGACTAGAGCCGCACACTACACGAAGCAGAGTGTGGAATGAGGGAATGTGCAAAAAACAAATAAAAACTGTGGGTGGGTGGATTTAGCCACTGCAAATTAATATCTTCATTCTGGGTATAATAATGATCCAATCTGATCCCAATTCAGTGATCTGATAGATATAGAGTGTTCCTACGGAATGGCTTTTTTAGTTTTCTTGTATCTTTAAAATTGTGGCTGTGGGAGATTTTCGCTTTTAATTTTTTAAATACACTTGCATCAGTGTGAGCATACAGCAGTCTGGATGGAAAATTCGGTGGCTCTAGCTCTTATAATCGCTTAGTACTATCCGAAAAACAAGACGGACAGACGGACAGACGAGCTGACGGGACTGATAAAAAATATATACACTTTGTCGGGTCGGAAACACTTCCTTCTTTGTGTTAAATTTTTTCCGCACAATCACAATGTACCCTATCGACTCTTCGAGTACCGGGTATAAAAAGTTCAATGACATTCACAAAAGGAATTCCTTCAGGGAAATGGATGATAGCAACAAGTGGGAGGGAGGACTAATTTCAGGGGGAGTTCTGATTATGGTAAGCAACGGGGAAATGGCTAATTATATTTAGAGTTAAATCACAAATCAGTTGCATAAGTATAGTTTAAAATGTGCTCCACCCAAATGCCACCAAATGAAGGCTGCAAAAGTGGTAGAAAAGCCGCCGCTTTTGCTATGGCTGTGGCTGCGGTGCACACTTCATTTAATTTATGGCCCGCAGCAATTCGCTGTCGTGGAGGGGATCAGAGTGGAGAGGAGTGGAGTGAACCGAGTGCATGTGTGGCGTATTTGAGTTGGAGCAGCAATTTGTTTGGCTCAAAAAGGATACAGAGGAGCAGTGTCTGTGTGGGGCGATACATATGTATACATCGCTCAGCAGTAGATAGGAGGAAGAGTACGAGTAGGAGCTGCAGCCGCATTTGCAGTTGCTCCAGCTAAGCCACCATATTCTTCCCCATAGCTCATTACGATTGCGATCATCATCCTCATCAGTCGAGGCGTTTGTCAAATTGCTTAAATTCAAGCACACAGTTGGCTGTGCGGTGCAGAGCAGGGCAATCCTTTTTAGGAACGAGTCTTCCAGCAACATTTCGTGGGCTGTTAAATTGAAGCATAATTCCGCTTGAAGCACACACAAAGCTGCAGCCCCAGCTAATGTCCTCTATCTGTATCTGGAAGCTAGAGTCCTGGATGTGGCCCTGCTGCTGCTAGTACTACAAACAAATATGGCAAAAATACAGCGCATGTCGCAACCATATGAAAAAAGAAGCAAACGCGAACTTCAAAATTGTGTATTTATGCAAAAAGCGGAATTAAAAATATTTTCCCAGCCTTTCTTGACTGGCAACTGCGTCAAGTCAGTGCCTAGCGTGCCCCGCACTCGTTCGTCATCCCTATTTGGGTTGTAAAATGAAGAGGAGCGCAGTGCTAAAAAAACTCAAGGAACCAAACCCACTTTTTATGAAAGATATGAGGCTTAGAAATGGTCTGACGATAGTTTTATTTTTTTTTTTTGTCTATGGCAGAACTTTTTTTGAAGAATTTTTCAAATCTAATTTTTTTAAGACTTTTTAAGAAGCAGTTTTTTCATATTATTTAAGTATCTTAGATCTGGCTGTAAGTAACTTTGTTCATCTTAAAAGCTTATCGATGCAGCTAAAAAATTGACCCCAACACATTGTATTTTTAGCTTACCGTTTGGGACATATTAAGCTTTGAAATACAAAATTTGGATTTTTAGAAAGAAAAGATACTGGACGGTGTTAAGGTAGCCACAGCAAAATTTTTCATTCTGATTCAATCAAATCCCAATTCGGTAATCTGATAGATATAGTCATTCCCTACGGAATGGCTTTTTTATACCCGGTACTCGAAGAGTAAATAGGGTATATAGTGTTTGCGGGGAAAACTGGATGTACATATGTAAGGCACAGAAGTAAACGTTTCCGACCCTATAAAGTACATGTATGTAGTTGTCTTATAATTGGTTGATGGCAATGTGAACATTTATTAAGTAATGATGAACTTATATGAAGTTAAAGTAGCTCCAAGTTTACATTTGTTACATTAGGGTATTCTTAGTACTGCTTGAGTACGAGTGGCGACTTCGACTGATCTCTCCTTCTCGCTGTCGGTTCTCTCAGAGCCGATGGCCGCTCTTTGCAGACGACGACACGACAAAACTACTACCGCTTCGTGTTTCTCTCTTTCCTTAATTTCCTACATTCGGCTGTCCTGACGGACCATTCGCCTCGGATGGGTCCTGGGAAGTCCTATATGGTCCTTCGATATAACCAATCTTCTCGACTTCATACCTTCCATGATTGTTCACTTTAACTACCTTATACGGCCCTAGATATTTTCCTTTCAGTTTTAAGCCGGTTCCATACTGTGTCCGTTTGATAGCTACTAAATCATTCACCAAATACTGTGAGTCTTCTTTCCTGTTTAAATCAAACCCCCTTTTGTTTTCCTGCTGTACCCTTGCGATGTTCTCAACAACTTCCTTCCTAATCTCTTCGCGCTCTTTATCAAACTCTACGATCAGTGATTTCTCCATTATTTATTTTATATTCGGGTCAATGTGATACGTTAGTAACGACCTATCACCCTTGTCTATTGGCTGAAAATAACCTTCACGTTTTCCTGTCTTTTCGTTTACAATCATACACTCGACGCAACTACTTACTACACGAGATACTTTATCTTTCAATTTCGGAATATAATATGACTTTAGCCGGTACCTTAATTAGCTCCTTATCTGGATCGTTAGACAAAATCTGATTCTGAATATCATATTCCTCGTCCTCCACAGTACCCCTAATAGCTTTCACCCAGTCGTCGGTTAAATGGGCTTCTTTTTCCATATCTCTAACATCAATGCAACACTCCTTCTAAACTTTCATAATGCTTGACATGCAAATGCCTTTACTATCGTTAATCCATTCCACACAAGAGGACGATGCTACCTGATCCGATTTCTTTTCTTCGCCCTCGTCACAAACTCTACGAACAACTCTTGTTCCTGTCTTGGAAACTTGCATATCAACATGATCTAGGATAGTCTTTCCTAAAATGGCTTCAAAACCGATGTCCTCGTCTGCAATGACTTGAAACTTTACCTCCATTTCAATATCAGCCACTTTCACTGGGATCGAAAAGCTACCAAAAGTCACAACTTGACTATCTCCAATCCCTGTTAGACATTTCTCACGACCGATCAGTACAAGATTTCCGAATTTAAAGAATACCCCTCTACGAACTAAACACGAATCTGCTCCTGTGTTAATTAATCCTTGGAATACAAAATTATCATACTTTAATTCTAAACCTGATGGAGTGAAAACACCTGACGGCCTCACTACGACGTCTTTCTTTTGAATAATGTTTGTAATTATTCTGTCCGCTTGTTTATTTCTTGTTTATTCTTTTCTTGTCCGCTTTCGACCTTGACATTACAATTTACAGCACGGTGCCCTGGTTGGCCACATTTGAAAGAACAGAAATCATTCTTAGGGCAATCTTTCCTTAAATTCGATTCTTCTCCGCACTTAAAACATTTCTTAACCGTTTCTGATACTGATCCTTTCTCCGAACTTTCACTTTTGTTCCTCTCCGACCACTTATAGCTTAATGGCTTAGATCGGCCTCTTGCTTTCTGATATACTTCGATCTAAAATTTGAGTTCCTTTTCGTTTCTATCTTGGTACAGCATTGCCTTACTCGCCCTAGCGTCTGGGATACCATCCACAAAATATTCGATTAAACTCTCATCATCTAATTTTATTGGCTATCTCCATTAACGCATATAAAAAGTCATGCAACGACTCTGCTTTCTTCTGAAGATATTCTGAAGATACGGAAGATATTTTTACACGAAACTCCTCCTACAGAGCTGCCTTTAACGATGCAATCACGAACATCCCGCAAACACAAAACAAACGATTTTGCAGCACCAGCCAATAACTGTTTGGCATAAACGAATAGTTGTAATAGATTCCACTGAACAGTAACTGCGCATTCTTCTAATTCGTCTATTCATTGATTGATGTCGGGGTTATTAGAACCAGAAAAATGTGACACACTTATTCTTATTCTCTGTCGATAGCGTACCTGTTGGAACTGCTACGGTATCGTCAACTGCTGTTCTTACAGACTCATTCTCGGACACTTCTTCTTCGTTAACTTGAAAACCGAAATGCACCATTAGTCGTCCCGTCGTCTGCAACGCAAGCCCTTTTAGCTTCTCTCGCAACTCAGCGACTCTCAGCGTCATAATCTCTTCAATCAGAATCGTGATGATTTAAATACAAAATAAAAATATCTTAAATCTAAAAAAATTTAATGAAATCGAAATTAAGTAACTTATTACGGTTAACCAGTTAGTAATGTTCTATGTTAACACACTTTTAGATCGCATTTGCTGCCGTCTCTGTTAACAGTCGCTCCTCTGTTAACACTCACCCCAAACAACGATTGATTTACCCTTAACTCTTGCTTCCCCGCAAAACTTTCCAGAGGCCAAATTCGACGCATACACACAACCACATCCAGATCTCGCTTGTCTGCAGATGTCGTCCTCTATCGGTTGCTTTGCCTCGTATTCGCTGTTCGCCGTTAACTTCTGGTTCCTTCCCGTCTGTGCTTCTTCTCTCTGGAAGAGGCGCGCTCAGATGATCGTCTCCTTGCCGATTGCCCCTTCTTGTACCTGTAGCTTCTGTTTCTAGACAACACAACCAACTTTTTGGTTCTTGCTTTGCCTTCTGCCTTTTGCTCTTGTCGTTTTCTCTCGTCGCTTCTGCTCTCTCCGAAATAAACGCGCTCAGATTGTCGTCTCTGCGTCACTTGTCTCCTTGTAGCTCTAGCCTCTCAGACGCAATGCACAACAACAACAACGAAGATATTTGACTCTTGATGTGTTTGCTTTCTGCCGTCTCTCGCCGTTTTCCTTACTTCTGCTCTCTTTGGAACGAACGCACTCAGATTGTCGTCTCTGCGCCGCTTGTCTCCTTGTAGCTCTAGCCTCTCAGACGCTATGCACAACAACAACAACGAAGATTTTTGATTCTGTGTTTGCTGCCGTCTGCCGTTATGGGGACGCTTCTGTGCCCTTGAATATCTGCCAACGCTCCTGCGTCTTCTTCGACAACTGTTGTTTGGTGTCTTTCGCACGACGAGCCAGACTGCGATTTCCGCACAGCGATCGATCTCCAGTCCACGCACTCTTTTATTCGCCAAATACACATATTCTCTGAATACACACACAAACTCACAAATGTTGGTGTTTTAGTCTTGGGCTTTTCTCGGACGAGCCCCCAATTTGTAGGTGTCTTATAATTGCTTGATGGCAATGTGAACATTTATTAAGTAATGCTGAACTTATATGAAGTTAAAGTAGCTCTAAGTTTACATTTGTTAGGGTATTCTTAATTATGCGGGTTTACAAGATGATGATATATATTCTTGATCAGCATCAATAGAAGAGTCGATAGAGCCATGACTGTCGCCCAGACATAGACTCGGGTATTGATGCTGATCAAGATTATATATACTTTATGAGGTCGGAAACGTTTTCTTCTGTGCGTTTCATACATTCACTTTTGTGCATAAATACAATATACCCCAATTACTCTTCGAGTACCGGGTATAAAAAGTCGGTTTGGTTCCTTGAAGAAAAAAAAGTTCGGTTTTGTCGAATAGTGTAATTTAAAAATGGAAAGACCATGGATACGGCTCTCCTCAAAGATTGAGATACACTCACAAATGTATTTTAATTTTGAAAATCTGATTAATATGGGACAATGTTTCGTAATCTTGGCACCAAACAGCAAACCCTCAACCTCTGTCCATAGTCAGGTTACCCTTTTCTGCAGTGTATAATAAAGCACAAAATGCAAAAAAAGGAAAGTAAGGAAAATTGCAATTCATCAAATAAGTCGGGCAGTGGAGTGGACAGGGCCAAACAGTTTTTAGGATGGGTGTGGGGCGGGAGGGTTGGAATGACAACTGCAACGTCTGCAGCTTCTGACTTTATGATAAGAAAACAGGCGAACGCAGAGTGTAGCCGGAGAGCGAGCTGGCAGGCAGCGTAAAAGAGAAAGCCAAAGTCAGACAAAACACATAGAGAGAGGGACACAGAGTGAGATTAAGAGAGGTAGAGAAAGAGTGACGGAAAGAGACAGAGGCAGACATTTGCCAGATAGACGATCCATTCAAACAAAGTGCCGCTTGGCAAATTTATGCTTAAAATCGCAGTTGCATCGCAGTAGCAAGGAGGCAGTGGCAAGAGTTCTTGTTTTAACAACAGCTCCACTTTTTTGGGGGTGCAAGGGAAAAGGACTTAACTCTGGCTTGGTGTTTTTGGGCTAGTACAACGACTACTCACATTTCACACGCAACGGCAGCTGATTACTGACCGTTTCGCCCTCATCGTTGATGGCGCTACACGCATAATTCCCGGCGTAATGCTTCGTGATCTTCTGCAGGACCAAACTCTGATTGGAGCGTATGACACGGGCGGATGTATTGTGTTCCAGATGAATTCCCTGAGGATAAGAGATTATAAGAATTAGTTGTGGAAATATTAGTATTGTTATTTTAACATTTGGAAGGGTTATTCGAGGGAGAAGTTGTGCCAAAACCTGTTGCTCATACATCCCACAGAGTCATTACTATTAAGATGAAGAATCTTTCCATTTAGCTATGGAATTATTAACTCAATTTCATTAACTTTCCATTCCTTCCCCATCCCATCTGTCATAGTTATATCGATATATATCTCTCCGCGCCCTTGACCTGAAAATGCAACTTAAAATACTGCACTCATCTCGCAGAAGTCACTTGCATAGAACCACTAAGCAAACAACTTATAGAGACTGCAAATCGAGTAAAAACTGGCTGCCTAATCAGTATAGTGGATTGGCACACATGAAATTACGAAGCAGACTCGAAAATGAAAAACAAAACTTTGTTTTTGCGAGTCGCTTTGCGTTCAATGATCAACAAGATCACCAAGAGCCGAAGACACTGGGAGGCAATACATCATACTGATTAGGCAGCCAGTTTTAACACCATTTTACCACTCTATGAGTTGTTTGCTTAGTGATAAAACACAACGTGTAACAACTTTTATACCCTGTACTCAGTAGGACTTCTGTACCTTAGTGTTTTTTTTCTTTCAAAATTTTACATCTTACATTTTTATACCCGGTACTCGAAGAGTAAATAGGGTATATTGTATTTTTGGGGAATAACGGTTGTATGTAACGCACAGAAGGAAACGTTTCCGACCCCATAAAGTATATATATTCTTGATCAGCATCAATAGACGATTCGATAGAGCCATGTCTGTCTGTCCGTCTGTCCGTCTTGTTTGTCGGCTAGTTCTCAGAGACTATTAGTTAGAGCCACCAAATTTTGCATCCAGACTGCTGTATGCTCACACTGAAACCAGTGTATTCAAAAATGAGCCACGCCTCCTTCCGCCCCCGCAAAAGGGCGAAAACCTTCCAAATCTACAGTTTTTAAGATAAAATAAAACTAAAAACATTCCGTAGGAAATGGCCATATCTATCAGATCACCAAATTGGGATCCGATTGGATCATTATTATAGCCAGAATGAAGAAATTAATTTGCAGTGGCTAAACCCAATCTGTCCCTCAGTTTTTGTTGTTCTTTTTACATTCTCTCATTCACATTGCTTCTGCTTCACTCGGCTCCTGCCTCTGCCCTCCCTCTGGCGATGACTCTTCCGACTTTTAACCCACCCCGTCCCGCAGCTTATATTTGTTTTTTTTTTTTTTGCGTTCGGGCGCTGCCTCTGCCGCGAGTCTGCAGTGTGTGGGTCTACGGAAGGGCGGCGAGCTAACAGAGCGTGTTGGTGTGAGAAGTGTTGTAGATGTAGATGACAGATGAAGAAAAAATTTAAAATTTGACAAATAACCGCTAAGGTGCAGATGTAGTACTGAGTGCCAGTTATAAAAGTTGTGACGCGTAAAAAGCGCCTCACACGTCCCTTCTCGTTTCTATATATGTATGTGATCTATATCACTTCTCACGCCAACACGCTCTTTTAGTTTGCTGTCCTCCCTAAGAGCCGCACACTGCACGAAGTAGAGTGTGGAATGAGAGAATGTGCAAAATATAAATTAAATTCTTCATTCTGCCTATAACAATGATCCAATCTGATAATTTTTCAGTGATCTGATAGATATGGTCATTCCCTATGGCATTTTATTTTTGTTTTATCTTCAAAACTGTGGATACCGCAGATTTTCGCCCGTTATGTGGGCGGAAGGGGGCGGACGAATTTTTAAAATACACTTGTATTAGAGTAAGCATTATGCAGTCTGGAGGCAAGTTTGTCGGCTTTAGCTTTTATATTTTCTGAGAACTAGCCGACAAATAAGACGGACAGATATAGCCTCGCATATTGATGTTGATCAAGAATATATATACTTTATGAGGTCGGAAACGTTTTCTTCTGTGCCTTACATACTTCCACTTTTGTGCACAAAAGTTTACTCTTCGAGTACCGGGTATAAAAATAACGGATCACAAATAAAATCCGAAATCTATTCGGCAATCACTCAAGCTCAAATTTCAATTTGGCAAAATCCGCTAAACGCTTCCGAAAGGCAAAAATTCTCACAAAAAAAATGGCAGAATGGAGAGGCTTCCGGATGGAGCGGATGGGCATGGAGATGGTTGGGATTGGAGATGAGTGATTGCCAAGCGATTGGGGGGCTGCAGTTGAGCGTCGGCAAAATCCATGCCAAAAATGTTCTAAACTATTTCCACTCAAAATGGAACCACAGAACCCCCGAATCCACACCCTCGCAGTTCCCCACATTTCAGTGCACACACACACATATGACCCCAGTGGCCCCCAGTGCCCTGCAGTGGATCTGGCGTGAATTGAAATGAGCAAATGCAGCAGTAGAGGAATTGGCATCTGCCAATGAGACGGCTGGCTCAATGCATCATGACATCGGCGTCGGCGACTCCCCGAGCACAGCCACCTCAATACATACGCAGCTTGTCATGTTATTGACACTTAAACAGAAATGAATGGAAGAAGCCAGCCGAGTAGAAAACCGGGACCAGCCTGTAACGAGAGTACCAGAGATCCAGGCACAGGTTGCATTCGTCCTGCTACTGATTTTGGCTGGCTTTTCCAGTACTCGTACTCCGGGGGAGACTGAGACTGAGAATTGACGCAACGTACATTATGCAACCACAGTAGTTTCCGCCATTGAGGATTCGATTGTACGTGACACTCGAAGTAAACATCATCACCTTCCTTGATATCATCCGGTGTCAATGTTGAGCCCAGGCGCAGAGTGACCAAAGGTGGATCTGCAAAGATATACAGAAAGGGGGAGAGATAAGAAAGAGATGAATTAACTTTTAATTGACAAAATCTTGGGCAGAGGAAATCAATGTGGAAAATACGTCTTAAGTGAAAATTGTTGCAAATTAGCTAAGGGAACTTTTAAAAAAGATTTCCAATAACCATTGGCAGCACAAAATAGCAGCACAAATAGTATTATTTGGTTAGTGATTTTAGGCTATGCAAAAATAAAATTTTGTTAGTGTTGGAAGCGGCTTAATTTCCTTTCGGCTTAATATTATTCAAAACAAATTTCGTTGGTTTAGCTTTTTAAAGTGTTATTTTTATTATTATTATTAAATTATTCCAAATGCAATTGTCACAACAAATATCAAATAAAGATCTGTTGAGCTACTAGTCGTTTTCATTAGCTGTTGATTGTTTAATACAAGAGGGTTTGAGAGAGGGTTTGATGCAAGAAAATGTACAATTTATTTGCTAGCGATATTACGCGTATGTATTACTATGTGTAGATGTACCAATAATATGTATAAGTTATTGGATAGCTATATAAATCTTATATGTGGGTTCAGTAAGGTGTAGAGATTGTGTACGAATACCGCGGGCAATGGGCAACAGTTACTAATGCCGTGCCCTAATGCAAGCGAGAGCTACGGATCGAGAAAGCGATAGGGATGGTGAAAGAGAGGCGAGATTCACACCTACATAGACCGCGACTTGCATTCGCATAAATCTTACAACTTCAAGTGTCAGCGCGCATAGAGATGGAGCCTGAGCTAAGGCCAGAGCCAGCAATATAGACTGTCATGAGGCAAGCCGATTTAATAGTTTTTGCAAATATGAGCGATTTAGAGCAATAACAGGGACAAAGTGCAACATTAACCAAGAGTTATGGCGACATCGCCTTTACCATCGCTGAGGTCCTCAGGATGAGATGGAGGCGGAGGCTGAGGAGGCTTCGCCTCGACTTCGGCTTGGGCTTCGACCGCTGTTTGCCAACATGTGTTGCCGTTTAAGTCGTTTGAATTTGCTTAACGAGCCACAAACTTTGCGACAAACAGAAAGCAACAGCAGAAAATACCCAGAGACACGTAGACCGGAGACCAAAAACCAGAAGCCCGGAGACTCCGCCAAAGCCAATGGAAGAGGCACACAAACATGACAGCGAGAGCGAAAGGGATGAGGACTGGGGGCGGCGCACGTGCCAACCTTAATATTGTTGAGTTATTGGCGGCCAAAAACCAAACGTCGACAGCCAAGAGTTAGGCAACAAAGCGGGCCAAAACCCTCAAGCAAAAAAGCTCCCCGCCTAACCCTCCTTTCCATCCTGCAAAACTTTAGAATGGCCCGGAAAACTTTTGCACTCGCCTTTGGTCCGTCGTCCTTCTTCTTCGTGTCTTTGCATTTGGTCGGGCCGACAGACGCCCTAGCAATCAGGCAAAGTGTTTGAAGGTCTATGGAAAACTCTTTTCACTGGAAAAGTCGCGTCGCGTATTTCCGCACATATGTTGCCGGCCATTTTTGTGACTATCATTTACCGTTACGGCTACTGTTGTGGCGCTACCCATGCACTGCTTCATGCCACGTCCAGGTATAGATTTCGGAAGTGCTGAACGGCTCCTCACAATTTATATGCAAAAGAAAAAAGCTTTAACAGTTGGGCAAATATTGAACAGTGCTGCCTCCTTAAATTCGGGAATATCTTCATCAATTAAATTATTCACCAATATTTTATAATACTTTATAATCATTTAGTTACATATAATTTCGAAACTCAACTGAAACCGAACCACGAATAATAATCATCAGAGTTGGAAGGTATTTTTCTTAATTTTCCAGCACTATTTTGTAATTTTTAGCACATTTCAAAAAGACTTTTGACTCATTTAATAAGAGTAGCAAGCTGTGAAATTCCTCAAAAGGTAAGCCGAAAAAAAAACAAATTTGAGCCTCATTCAGGGCCTGACTATCGACCGATTCAGATCGGAAAAAAATAACTACAGAATAATTTATAAAATAAGAAATAAATTATTTTAAGAAATTTATGCCGATCATTACTTTGCCTGTAAGTGTTTGTTGTTGCGCAGTGCCGTGCCGTAAAATTCCTAGCCGTAATGTATATCTGGTTTAGCATTTTGTAGGGAACCGCACCAAACCAAAGACGTGAAAAATGCCACTAAAACTCTGCGTCGTTCCGAATGAGGGGAAGCGTGAGAGAAAGCGTCGTGCTAAAAAGGCGCAGCAGCAGAAGGCACCGATCAGCAGGCGGGACTTTCTGCGTATGGCTGAGGCGGATGCGTGCTCCATGTACGGCGGTCCTGGCGACCCTTCTCCTGTGTCGGAAAAGCCGCCAGCTGAGCGCTCCGAAATTCGGCCGATGAATTTTGAGTTGCATCTGAAGCCCAAAATGTCGGACGCGAAGGAGGTGGAATCGAAATCTGCGATAGAAACGAGCTGCCGCCGTTCATCTGGTGATTGTCGAGAGTTAAGTATTATGGCAGCAGTTCCGATTGTGGAACCATTCCAGGAACAAATTGTGGAACCCGGTGTGGAATCAATCGTGGAACTTGTTCAGCAAAAATTCTCCCAATGCGCAGATGTAGACAAGGCATTAATCGAGCCACCAGTATCGGATACTTTTGAATCAATTTGCGCAGAGTTCGATGAGCCTGCAATGAACTGGGAACTTCCGGCTATAGATGCGAATCTCGTGCAACCGACTGCACCCCAATGTGAGCTGCCCGCATCACAGTGTCACACACAATTTGATTCAATGCAACCCAGTAATACCGATCAACCAGTGCAATCATTGCACGATCTAATCGATTCTATATGCCCTGAAAAGTCGATTCAAACACTGCCCCCGATAGCAGCGCCAACTATTAATCAGGGATGGGACCATATGTATTCACGTCCCTCCAATCTAGCTGTGATTCCGCAGGAATTCTGTCAACAAATGCAATCTGAATCGGAGATGTTTTTTCCACCAGTTAAGCAGAGCAGGAACTCGATGGCTTCATGTGCATCCGTCCAACCCATGTCATCAGCAGACCATCAAAGCTGGGACTCCACAAATCATCTGCAGCATTGGGAACCGTTCTCCATGATGCCGCCTGTTGCACGTGACACTACGATTCCAGTTACCCCTGTAGCAGTGCCTATAAGCAGTGCCATAAACATGCTAAAAGCTTACCAAAGCTGGGACTTAGTGCCAATAAATCATATTTACAATGGGAAACAAGCGGAACATCCGATGAATATGCCACAATCAATTCAGAGGAAAATGCAGCAGGAAAATGGGAAAGGAGTCCCTCCATCTGTTCCAAAAGCGGCAGACAATCCACATTCCCCACAGATCTGTGATATAGGATTAAATAATGGCCCACCCACCGCTTCTACTCGTCCTGTTCTCATACCTGTCAGCCGTGTGACATTGGCACACCTCAGAACAAGCAATAAACCATCTCAAAACTCTAGCTCTTGGCTAGAAGAAATTATGGAAGATGTGGAAAATCCTGAGCCATCAACCACGGAACTCTTGATACAAGAAGTGCAGCCGGCAGCCAATCCTTCAACTTTTCATAACGCCAACACCAAGATCTTGAGCAATCATATTGAAAACACTTGTCACAGCACCGAAAAAATACAGAAAACTTGTGCGATGACATCAAACAATCCGATCAAAATGTCAATACTTGATCATGCCCATAACTCTGTGTACAAAAATCAAGTTAATACTGTGGCAGAGCCTACCTTTCATTTCACACCATCAGAACAGGCTATAAATATGAAAAAAGAACAAAAAGAAATCACAAGTTTGCAAAATCTTTCTCATAATTTGAACTCTGTTCCTGGTCAAAAAATGGCGCATGTTAGCACTCTCCAAGTGCCAATCAAAACGCCTGTGATCCGTGTGAGACCAGCAGACAATCCGATGGCTGAGTTAAAATCTATTCCCTCAACCCAGCTACCTCTTATTAACAATATGAAATCCAAAGTAAACGCATTGTATGTACCAAATGCTAACCAAAAAGGGTACCCATTAACTCAAAATCAAATTGATAATGTGGCCATGCAACATCCACCAACTGTGAATGTCCCAATGCCCATTATTCGACCAGCAGACCAGACCAGCAGACTTCCAATGGCAAAATTTGTCCCTAAAAAAAAGATTATAAATGTGTCAGCACCTATTGTACAAATGAAACCAGCAGGTCAATCCATAACTGTGCTAAAACAACCCATAACTGTGACTAAAATGCAAGCTCCTATCCTTAACTTTAACTCTGCATCCCAAAAACAGGTTATAACAGGGCACGCTGTGCCTATAGCCATGAAGTCTCCTATAGCCTGTATGAAACCTGAAGAAATCACAACCAATAAACTGACAGGTACGCAGAACTTAGACTCTGCCATCAAAATTCAGTTGGAAAATGGAGCAACGATCCACATACCGCAAGTACCAGTAGCAGCCAAATCTCGAGTACAGCAACCCATGACCATGCCACAGGTGTGTCAGCAGCCCATGACTATGCCACAGCCGTGTCAGCAGTTTCCCATGACGATCGTCAAATTACAGCGTAATCCTCCTGCAGGGGCCCAAGAGTTCCACGGAGACCAAAGGCCGAGGATGATCTATGTAAAGAGTGCCACTGGCCAGAATATACCCGTCTCCTTTCTGACAGGACCCGATGGTTTGATCACACAGGTAAAAAGGCTGCCACCGAATGAGGTGGCTCGAACAGTTGCGAATCGATTTCCGAATGGTCTGCCGCCGTTGGAGCCAATCAAGCGAAATATCTTTCCGGCGCCCAATACGTGTACGACGATGCACGGACCCGTGAACGGTGCAGGATACTTTTGCGGGGTCATGGCACCCGATCAGGCCGTAGAGGATGAGGAGGTGGACAACGAAGAGATTGGGGTGGCCGAAACCTTTGCCGAGTACTGGCCAACGAAGCTCGGGCAGGGCATGGCCCATCCAGATGCCGTCGTGGAGACGGCC